GAGGACAAAGGGAATTCTGTCATTGTTTTTTATTGTGGGGAGGGGGTGTGAGGGCTGAGGTGTGGGCAACACAAGAGATGCGGTCGAGGGCATTTTCGACCACTGCGGATGGAAATTGCGGTCCTTGAAAAACAAGGACATCTTGCGGGATTGGAACGCCTCATCTTGGGACCAGAGGCGGAGAAATTGGGAATAGGGGATTGCTTTCTTGCAGGAAGGTGGGTGAGAGGTGGTGTAGTCTAGGTAGCTGTGGGAGTCAGTGAGCTTGAAATAGTCATCAGTTTCAAGGTGGTTACCAGAGATGGAGACAGAGAGGTCCAGGAAGGAGAGAGAGGTATCAGAGGTAGTCCAGGTGAACTTGAGGTTGGGGTGGAAGGTGTTAGTAAAGTTGATGAACTGTTCGAGCCCCTCGTGGGAGTTTGAGGCGGCGCCGACACAGTCATCGACTCTTCCTCTGTTACATCGGTGACTGTATCGGCACCGCCTCGTGCTCCCACGAGGAGCTTAGGGAGATATCTGTACACTGGTGTCATTCAGTTCCAATCCCTTCTCCCAATACTCCTCATCTATCTCATCTCTGTAGTGTCATCTGCCACTTGTCTGCCCATTTTACCAGCATTGAAGTGATATTGTGTGGTAACTGATTTGTATCAGGCTTATTGTTTGCTCCATATCAAGTTTGGTCTTAATTGCAAATTTTGGAATCTAACTGTGTATCTCAAAATCCAAAATATATACTTATAAATAAATATAGATGTGCAGAATATGCAGTTTTCTGATGTGGGAGGGGAAAGATTTAAAAAGTACCCGAGGGGCAACTTTTTCACAGAGAGGGTGATGTGCATGTGAAATGAGTCGGGAGGGGAAGTGGTAGAGTTCATACAATGACAATATTTAAAAAAAACATTTTGACAGGTACTTTGATGGGAAAGGTTTAGAGGTGTATGGGCAAAACGCAAGCAAATGGGACTAGTTCAGCTTAGGAAACCTGGTTGGCATTGACAAGTAGGGCGGCCTGTTTTCATGCTGTATGACTCTTACTCGAACTTTGCCTGCACAAGGACTACGCAGCAGTCCACCTCACCAGTACAATCATTGGCAGATTGGTGAGGATGAGGCGAAGTATGTTTTTCCATCCTGTTTCGATGAAGATTTATTTTGTGAATAAATATCATCATTGCACCTAATGGACTTGCATTTGTGGTGAGAGTAATGGTGAGGCGATCCGCACTCGTTTGGCAAGATTGCCTTCATTGGTCAGTGCACTATGTATAGGAGTTGGAACATCATGTGGCAGCTGTACAGACATTGGTGAGGCCGTTTTTAGAATACTGCATTCAATTCTGGTCTTCCTGCTGTAGGAAAGATGTTGTGAAACTTGAAAGGATGCAAGAATGATTTACAAGCATGTTGCCAGGGTTGGAGGGTTTGAGTATAGGGAGAGACTGAATAGGCTGGGCTTTTTTTTTCCTGTAGCAAGGGAGGCTGAGCGGTAATCTTATGGAGGTTTATAAAATCATGAGGGGCATGGAAAGGCTGAAATGGCCAAGGTTTTTTTTCCAGGGTAAGTGAGTCCAAAACTAGAGGGCATGGATTTAAGGTGAGGGGGAAAGATTTAAAAGGGACCTGAGGGGAAACTTTTTCACATAGGGGGTGGTATGTGTATGGAACAAGCTGCCAGAGAAGGTGGTGGAGGCTGATACAATTACAACATCTGGATGGGTACATGAATAGGAAGGGTTTAGAGAGATATGGGCCAAATGCTGGCGAATGGGAATGCAGGTAGTGATGTTATAATGCGAGTTTCATTAACACAAATTGGCTGTAATGCGATTGATGAATAGTGGCCGCTGTTTGGATAACGCAAACTTTCTGCTGTACAAGTTTAGTGATTTTCCTATAGGGATCTCCCTCTAATGCGATTTTCTGTCCCACAAGGTCACACAAGATTCGCGTTGTAGGAGAACTACCTGTAGATCAATTCAGGATATCTGGTCAGCACGGATGACTTAGACTGAAAGATCTGTTTCTGTGCTGTATAATGACTCTAGTTTTCACAAGTATAACCTCTAATAAAAGCTCCTGTTTTGTTGTGCATCTTGGAACAATAATTGTTAGAATTAATTGAATACAATGTAACTGGTTTATATTCACACCCATGTTCTGTACTGATGGGTTAGACTAGTCCAATACACATTAGACTTGTTTGTCAAATATAATATTCTAGTTGCTTTTTATAAATTAGAAATTGTGTGGAGAAGAATACTAATGCCTGACATTCTGGAATGTTTTTCAGTTTCAACACGTGCACAGTTAATACTTTAGCACGTAACCAAGGAAAGCCAAGATATTCTGCCATATCATCCACTAATCCCTGATTTGGAGGTAATGGACAGCCAAATCCTATATCCATTGGTCAATGCCCATGTTCACTCAACACACACATTCTTAAAAGTGTGCACTTATGTGTTCTCAACCAATTGTGCATTCTAAATCATTTTTTTCCTATTTACTCACCTCCAGTCATTAAACAGACTGCGATTTAAATTTTCCCCTTTATTTCAACTGTGATATTTTTACCTATTCCCTGCGTTTGTGGACTCTGACTTTGTAAGAAGTGCATCAGAAGTAGGGCATTTTTCATACATGCTTAGGTATGGAGGATTATACTTTGCAACATAGACATGCATAAAAATGCATCAGAAGAAAATGAATTTAAAGGAATAAAGAGGTTCTTTAATAAGCAACAGCTTGAGTACAAATCAACTGAGAGATACCAGTTTATCAATGTCCTTTTTAAGATGGAGTCCTAAAATCCTAAGTGGAAATTAGTGATCTGGAAGTGGCAGTGGTTCATAATTTTGTTTACGAGCATGGGAACTGGAGTAACCCATTCAGCCCCTCAAGCCTGTTCCACCATTTAGTGAGATCATGGCTGATTTGTGGCCTAACTCTGTGAAAATCCACTCTTCCTATATGGATAAATATCTCCTTGAAGGTCTTCTGAGGAGTATTGATGAAACATAATTTCTGTTGTGCTCTTTGGATGAAAGAAGGCTGATTACTTTCAGAGAGCTCATAAGCAGGATGTTGGTTACTGTTTATAAATGCTGCCAGACCTGCTGGGCTTTCCCAGCAATTTCTGTTTTTATAGCAGTAATCCTTGTTGGGCTATTCAGTGTGTTTTTAAAAAAAACGTCACTAAGTCTATTTTTTAATGATAAAAAAGAAAGAAACAAGTAGAGGAGTATTCATTTATTCTCCCATTCCACACACATTGGGTTTATTTGGTGCAACTGGAAGCCAAGATTGCATCGCTTCACTTGATGTCCCCAGATTATGTCATCTAGGGTAAATACTTAGTGATGATAGACATAAGTTCTAGTGTGGAAGGAAAGCGTAAAATTTAGAATCCTCCCTGACATTACAGATTGGGTGTTTCTAGTGTCTGAGCAAAGAAGTAAAATTTACTCCCTTTCAGGGAGAGTATGGAGCCACTGTTCCCATGAGGACAAAACTCCTTCAGGTTTCAGATGGTGTATCTGAATCAGTTTCACACAGGGCAAATTCTCTCAAGTGGCTAGAATCTGCAGTGAATGCATCTTGTTGGTTGTTCTATGCATCTTGCTGGGGTATGTCTTTTTGGAATGAACTAGTGGACCAAGAATTGCAGCCTTTGTTTGATTATAATCGACAGCCATTTTGGTGGCTAACATGGAATAGCCCTTTTGAGTCTTCCCTGTTAACTGACCCTGAAACATGAGGGTCCTCCTCTCTTGTGGCCATTGTAATTGTCCTGCTACCCTTTCAAAAGCAGCCATGATGTGGGACTTCAACTGACAAAGGGGCTAAGCTCTGAAAGCTTGTGTTTGCCAGTAAACCTATTGGACTATAAACTAGTGTCATGTGATTTCTGACCTTTCAAAAGTAGTGAGGAAGGACTCCACATCACCCTCTTCAAATTTAGGAATGTAACTGGCATAGTTAAAAACTTGGCTTCAAAACTTGATTCTGTAATAGGGAAATTCGGACAGTTACTGAGTGGAGAGGAGTTTTGCCTGGCGGTTTCCATCTGTCCAAATTCTTTGAGTCTGTAACTCCAATTCCAATTCGTGGAATTAAGAAGCTTTTTCATCAGTGTGTCTTGTTCTGTTTCTGTCTCTTTCTTTCTCTCTATCTTCTGTCCCTCTTTCTGTTTCCCTAAACTCTAAGTATATCTTAAACTTTTCCAGCATTTATTGAGTGACAGAATGTTGATTAATTTCTGGTTCTAATTCCTCATCTACCTGTTCTGATGTTTGTGTTTTTAAAACAGTCACCAAATACATGTACTAATGTCAGTTTTTAATCCGTTCATGACATGCAGATTTTAAACAGCAGAAAAAATTAGTAAAATTCAGAGGCAGCTTCTAGCAGGAATCTCTTGTGGAAGTCCACTATATTCTTTTCAGACCAAAACTCTAATGCTGTAAATAAAAACTGAGTGTCTTCATTCTGACATTAATTGTATTTGTCTTTGGGCTGAAGCTCTGGCTTTGTCCTGTTGTTTTTAAAAAAAAGTGTGATTGGACATGTGTACTGCAGCAGTTCAAGGAAGCATCTTCTCAAGAGCAACAAGGGATGAACAATAAAAATGCTGGCTAGCCAGACCCACATCCCACAGGCGAACTTAAAAAAAGATTCCTAAGGTCCATTGAAAGCCTCAGGAATTTTTTCTTCCTGGATACTTCTGATTGAATACTTAGAATAACTTGTCTTTTAATCTTGAAACTTTTTATATATTACAGAGATATTTAATTGTAGCTGATAGGAAATGCATCCTAGAAGTACATAGTATTAATAAATTGACTTTATGAAATGTTAATTACCATAATGAGTGGAATTTTATAGTTCACATGCGAGCAGGCTGCCTGGTGTGGTGTGGAGATTAGTGGCTGTAATGATATTGCCATGCCTGTTGCCTGCCTGTCTCTGCCAATATTTTAGCAGCAGTGGGTGAGATGTCAAGCACTGCCTTTGAATTACTTGGGACTTTGAATTCATTAATGGCCAGTAACGGGCTCCTTCCACGAGAGATGTCCATGCAACCTTTTGCCGGCAAGGGAGGTTGAGCGGATGGAAGTTCCTCCCTGAGTTGATTAATGGTCTGTTGGTCATCAAATTGCTCAACTAGGCCAACTGTGCAAAAGGATGTTTGTCCCCAACTTATCAGCTGAGGGAGCAGGATCACCGCCTCTGATCTATAAATCTACAGCATATCTGTTGTTCCGCTGGCTAGAGTCTCGAGTCAATAAATATTTTTATTTGTACAGTTGGTCACATGGCCTCATTTTCTTGGCATTTCTGTTTAGGCTACAGCTTGAATCAACATCACGACAGTCAGTTACAACCCAACCAATGTAACAGGGAAACAACTCCTCACTTGTGAAAAGTTACCTCTAGCATATCAGCAGCATTATGAAATGAGGTTGCAACCTGTGAAAGTTTAGTGTTTTTTAATACCCTTATGTTGCAAAATTGGTTCTAGAAAACCGTTGATTTGTATGTCAAAACCCTTATTAGATTAATGTGGAAAATGTATTGTACACCCTCATGAATATATATTATACAGGTTTTACATAATTTTAACACTAAAGAATACATTTTAAATGAATTTATGTAAGACTGTTTCAGTTTTAACCAAATTCACTTATGTTTTGCAGTATATTCTTTCGATGGGCTCCTGGTTTTTGGCTTGCTTTTTATATGCACCTGTGCATACCTGAAAAAAGTACCACGACTAAATAAATGGCTTCTATCTGAAAAGAAAGGGGTATGGGGTGTGTTTTACAAAGGTAAAATAATATGATATTACACTTAATGAACAAAAACATTAATCTGTTTCAGGATATGATAAAATCACTGTTCTTTGACAAATAATAAAAAGATCGTAAGGATTTTGAATGACTTATTGCTCCAGTTTGTATTGTGTATTCTTGAGGATTAAAACTTATAAGTTTTGATTAACAGGGTTTGATTACCAAGTTAATTACTATAACCAGACTCGATCAGAGCATGTGATTTAATTGATCATGGACCAAAATAATCATAAAGTAGTAAAATAAATTGAGATTTGACCTTCTCTATGTCCAGCAATATTCTTGTGTTTATTTTTTATAACTTTAGATTGTCTTTGCATAAATATTTATCAGACAATGCAAATAACAGAAAAATGCAAAATACTGTATATTCTGTAAATCTGAAACAAATTGAATGCTGCAGAAATTCTGTAGTTCTGGCAGGATCTGTGGAAAGAGATGCAGAGTTAACGTTTTAAGTCCAGTATGACTTCTTCAGAACTGAAAGATTTTGGAAAAGAGTTTTTTTTATCTACTTTCGACAGAGGCAGAGGAGGAACAAGTGGGCAGGTGGTGTAGAGACCCTGTGCAAAGAGAAAGGAGTTGTTAAAGGAGAAAGATGTGTAAAATAGGTATTTATTAACACGTGAAAGGAAGAGAATAAGCCTTTTCTGCTAACAGCAAACTAAACAAGAGAAACAAGACAAAGTTTCAGGTGTGTTAGAGAACATAAGGAAAATGGAGCACAGACATAATGTGGTCAATTTCTGAAGATGTGGAATTCAGTATTGAGACCTCAAGGCTATAAGGTCCCCAAGCAGAAAATGAGGTGTTGTTCCCCAAGCTTGTTTTGTTAACGCGAATTAGCTGTAACACAATTGATGAATAGTGGACGCTGTTCGGATAACGCAAACTTTCTGCTGTACACATATAGCGATTTCCCTATAACGCGATTTTCTATAGCGGGGGTCACACAAGAACGCAACTATTGCATTATAGAAGAACTACCTGTACTTCAGACATTGCACGTTAATACTACAGTCAAGAAAGCACACCTATGCATCTACTTTCTTAGGAGGCTAAGGAAATTTGGCATGTCCACAATGACTCTTTATAGATGCACCCTAGAAAACATCCTATCTGGATATATTACAGTGTTGTCTTATAAAGGGAAGTCGAGGTTCTCTGATAATTAAAATCCAAGCACAAGCCTCCAATCTGTTACAATGGGTGTAAATGTCCCCTTCTAATAATTAAACCTGAAACACCCAGAGGAGTGCGCTTCACCTCACCCAATCTATTAAAAAGGAGTGGTTAAATGAAAGAAAATCCTTGATATTCACTTTATAAGCAACAAGTAAAAATTTATTTATTTTAACCCTAACAGTGAACAAATTAACAGAACTACTAACAAACCGACCAATTCCCCCCTAACAACTAACTATTCCCTAACTAAACAAAATTATACTGGTATGCTGTTCCAATAAACACAAATCCTACTAATAAGAAAACTAAATTATAACTTGGACTCAAAGTCCATACAGGTGTATCTTCTGGAATGTTCTGCCTTCTCTGCTGTCTCTCCAGTCATGTACATCTTTCTTTCACTGATCCTTCTGTCAAGGATGTTTTCTTTATGAATTCCTCTGAGGACTTTTAGCTCGAAGTGCCATGGTACCATTTATGAATAGATGGTGCTTTCTCAGAAAGCTTAGAGATTTCTGTGAGAGCTAGACGTTTATTCCTCAGATGGCCTTTTGCTCTCGCACCGATTTTTCAGAAACCCTCTTCTTATAAACCTGATTTTCTGAAGAAGGGTCTAGACCCAAAACGTCAGCTTTCCTGCTCCTCTGATGCTGCTTGGCCTGCTGTGTTCATCCAGCTCTACACCTTGTTATTTCTTAAACCCCTGATGGTCTGTCAGTTTTCTTGTAATAGGTTTGGTCCAAAGTTGTCAAAACTACCAGATTTAAATTCAATTGGTTATCAATTTCTAAGTGCTTAGTTTAAATTTAATTGGCTGATCTTCAAGCTAGTTGCCAGAACTGAAAAGAAGCCTAAGGTTTCCAATCACACAGCCAATTGATACATGTTTCAATTTTAGAACTGTCTGTACATCTTCAACTGCTTGCAGACACACTTCTGTTTAAATCTCCAAGCTTAGAAAAGCACATTACCTCTTAAAGGGATTACGCACCCCGCCAAACACCCCCCCCCCCCCCCCCAATTTTTATGAACGAATTCTAACTTCGTACCTTCCAATTCACAACTACTGTACACAGTTTTGCAGCAGTGATATGGCAGCTGTCCATAGAACATAGAACATGACAGCACAGTACAGGCCCTTCGGCCCGCGATGTTGCACCAAACTGAAACCCATCTAACCTACACTATTCCATTATCATCCATATATTTTATCCAATGACCATTTAAATGCCCTTAAAGTTGGCGAGTCTACTCTGCCCAAGACTGCTAGGAATTACAGAGAGATGTGAACACAGCCCACTCTATTATGAAAACCAGCCTTCATCCATTGACTCTGTCAGTACTATCTGCTGCCTCTGGAAAGTAGCCAACATAATCAAAGACTTCTGCCACCCTGTTATGCACTCTTTCATTGGGCAGAAGATACCAAAGTTTGAAAACACATACTTCCTCCCTGTTGTTATGAACAGGCCTCTTACATATTTGAGTTGATCTTCCTCTGTGCCTTCTCTGTAGCTGTAACACTATCTTCTGCATTCTGTTCTATTACCTTGATGTACTTATTTAAGGTATGATTTTCCTGGATGGCATGCAAAACAATACTTCTCACTGTATTTTGGTATGCGTGAGAATAATAAATCAAACAAATCAAACCTATTTTACCTGTCTCTTTCACCATCTCCTTGTCTTTTGCACTGGGCCTCTACATCAATCTGCCTTTTCGTTCCTCTGTCAAAAGTATAAGAAATCCATTTTCCAACAACCTTTCTGCCCTGGAGAAGACTGATACTGGACTTGAAACATCAACTCTCTTTCTCTTTCCACAAGACACCTGACTCTATTCTCAACTAGTATCATGGTGAGCAGGCTAGTAATGTGTGTGGAGTAATCCACTGCGACTCCTGTCAGTTTTTCCTGCTACCTATGATGAAACATCTAAAGTTTTGAGTCTCTCTGTACAGTACGGCACAGTTTAAGAAAACTTTGAGGCAAAATGCCTACCAGAATTTCTTCTCCATGCCACACATTTAGATCTTGCATTGTGATACCTCATTAAAGGTGTTTTCTGAATGTGACATTATGGTTTTCAGTGTGTTGTAATGTATTTTTAAAGAAAAAAAAATGAGGACACATTATTGTACTGATTACTAAATAAAACTATGTTTCTTTACAGCTGCAGTAATAGGAACAAGACTTCATGTACCAGTTGCACTGTCTTGCCTTGTCATGGGTGTTTATGTTTTGTTTATTAAATGACAACAACAATCCAAATTTGATGAAGAACATAAGAGGAACAATATATTTAGCAAAACGTTCAACAAGGATTATGATCAGATAATGTTTCCTTTCTGTACAAGAACCGGACGCTATACTGTTTATCCTCTCATGCTATCCTGGAGGTGCTTGGAAGAAACATTAACAAATGGAAAAGTAAATTGCTGGTATATACATGGTCCGTACTAAATCTGTCTCTTTATTCCAAGGTGTGTGCTTATAGCAAATCTTCTGTTTCACTTGAAAACAACATCATGAAAGACTAGTCGGACAATTAGTCAAGATTTTTGAGTATTCAACTTTGAAGGAAGTATTTGTGTGGTTTAGTAACTTTGGAAATATTTTGAATTGAAACTGTAATCCTGAGATAATCATTTAAAGTTGGTTTCTTTTTCAATTTCTGGATTTAATCAGATACTAAAGTTTCCATTTAAAAACAGGAAATTTTGTCTTGGCGTATTTTGTCTAAGGTAATGACGTTGTTGTACATTGGTCCAGTTGACTATGTTTGCTATGTCTTCCTAAAATGATGTATACTATGATTAAAAAAGTAACACTTTATTCATAATTTAGGGTGTTGTGGTGAAGTTTATAAAATGAGATACTTAACCAAAAAAAACAAAAGTTATAAAGTTATTTTTGGATAACCCTATCGGAATCTGTAAAGTGACTGTAGCGATGATGAGGATGCCCAACCTGCCTTAAAAAGTTCTTTCTTGTAACAAGGTGACTGCATTGGTTTTATTGACCCAATGGTTACTGAAATGAAGGTAGTCAATTTGTTGGACATTTCAAAATTTAAATATCCTGTTCTTTCCTTTGACATTGAAGCTGCGGTATATATTCTTGCAAAATGTTATCTGCACTTCAAGGAATTATCATAATTTTGGAAGGAAGTACGATATTAAATAAAAACAACCATTGCAGGGGAAACGTGTTTTAAATTTTAATGCAGTTTTTCTTTGATTTTGAAGAATCCACCTGGATCCGTGGTTGTCTGTTATTTCTATAGCTGTTCAGAGGGGAAGAAATTGAAGCGAACAATACTGACTGTGGCACCAATGAAATGCTTTATTGCAGTCTATACCACACCCTCCGAACTATTGCAGTCTGGTACATGGATTTGCTAAGATCAGACTTTGGGCAGTTGCAGCACTATTCCTGCCTGTCACAGGGTTCTCATTTCCAAGGATGTGCAATTGCTAATGCATTGGATGCTATAATGTATCGAGTTTTTTTTAAATCCCAGTGCGTGAATTTTCTCACTTACCACAACCCTCAGGAACCCCACCCTACTGAAGTGCATATGACTAAATCAGGTATGGATTGTGAAGATTCTGTAACTGTTCATTAAAATATTTGGAAATTCATCTAGGATATTTTCCCTTTTTTCACTCTATTTCCTTTTGGGAGAGGTTTCAGACAACATGCACAAAGCCAGCAACTTGTCCATTAGATATTTAATAAATTTCAATGCCATAAGCCAGACCTGTACGTGAATCGTTGCCTTCCTAAACTGGAGTGTGCATTTATTTTCACAATGCCCAGATAAATGTATCAGCTGCAGGTTGAATAGATATTCTTGTCACTATTTTGGGTTTATCGTATGCCATCATGTGATTACCTTAGCTTTGGAAAGCAGAACAATAAATGTTCAATAGATCTGTGACTTAGGCTGTATATTTATTCAACATTGAACCGTTAAATTCCAGGCAGAAGGACAAACAGTAGATTTTCAATAACTGTAGACTTGTTTATTCATCATGAGAATATAGAAAGTAATAAATCTGCTTCTTCTATACTTGAAGGTTAAACTGAATCTGAAACAAAGTTCCTAACTGATGCTTCTTTACTTTGGATATATAAGTTGTTTGCATGCTCTAACTATGAAGAATTTAAGCAGACTATTGATTTAAATAGAGGAGTTGCATAGAAATATATACTATCAAACATTTGATTGAATGAAGGAAATTAAAAATGTATTTCCTCCAACTGAAGAACAACCTGAGATCAAACATATACTATATGAAGGCTCTTGTTACAAGTTGGCACTATGGATGCAAAATATCCTCCAACACTTACACCCAAGACACAATCATTGATAATTCAATTTTAATTGTCTGTTGAATGACTATTCAATCATAGGGAAGATGGTAGGGTCTGCAAAACGAAATGCTATTGGGCTTACTGAAGTCATGAAAGTTATAGTTAACAGAAAAGCTTTTTTTTTTTTTGCTGCTCACTACTTCTTGGCACCTTTTGACTTGAACTATTACATACACGTCTGGTGAAAATGATTATTGTGCTGTCTTGTATGTTGAGTATGTGTTCGTATTACAAAGTTGGGAATGTAGGTTTAATGTTGATATCATTGTGGAGATTACTTGTTCACGCATGCATGTGTTTGCAAAATGGAAAATTTCTTGATTCAGAACCTTAGCTTTAATTACTATAATTTAGTGTCTGGTGTTGACAAAACTTGGTGGTAACAATATTAGAAAACCTGTCCTTCAACACACTCTATAGTTCAATGACTGATTTCTGGACCTTCTCTGTTACATCATGCACTTGACAGAAGACAGTATATTGCAAATTACAAAACCTCAGCCATGGGTTCTTGAAATTCCTTCCTGTGTTCAACAATTTGGCCATTAGTCATGCTTTTAACACTGAGTTGGAGCAGTGTTACATTGTCATTTCAAGACCGGGAAATATGGAAAGTTGCTTCTCCCATAGATAGAGATTCAAATTTAAAGGTTCTAAAAAGCCACCAATTGGTTGTACTTTTTCCTGTTGAATGAGTTTGCGCTCTGTTACATCCATGCTGTAAGCAAAACATTCTTTATCCTAAGTCAGTAACATTTGTCCATTTCCGGTCCTCGAACAGTTCGATCTTGCCATGCAATTCAGCATAGCTCTATGCTTGAACCACAAAGTGATTTAGTCCATGACAAATGTTGCATTCTTTGAATGACCTGTTAAAGTGCTAATGTTGAGAGCTGCACTTGAGATTAAAACTGTTTCATTTAAGTATAATATGTTTCATTTCCAAATTTTATTACTTAGTTTCTTGATATAAAATATATTTAAAAATTACTAAGTTTTTGGCTTGACTTTGCATTTTAATTTTTGGCTTTGCTAGAATTTCAGCTTTTTATCCATGCCTATTTTGCTGTCACTTTCACAGCCCTTGTCCAGTCAATGTAATTGATTCCTATTGTAATGGCAAACAGTGAGCATCATATGATTAATAAGGATGACAGCTGATAAGAATGGAAGGATTAAGTAGAGGAAGTGTATATAGGATGACAGTAACAAAACCGAAATTGCTAAAAATGCGTCAGCTTTCTTGAATCTGCAGCATTTTGATTTTTTGCAATGTCTGATTTTAGGAATATATCAGAAAAGGGGTCCATGGAGTATGAAGTGTTGCTATAAATTGGAATCTTTCATAACATTGTGAGATTTTACACAGATGCCTGCTCCTTCAATATTAAATAGCCCTATGGAAATTGTTGAAATCTTATGCTAGACAAACATTTTGGGAGGGTTTTTGCAGGCAGTATTCCCTCTAATGATATAATTTCACAATATCTCCCTCTAAAGAATGGTACTAAAAATGAAAGCCAATGTGTAAGCTGGCATTAAAGTGCGAGTAGTCTAACTAGCGGATCTCACGGTCACCTTTATGCTATTTGAGAGATTTGCTCCTGTGGAGTGATTTTGTTAGCTTTAACATTCATAATTTTTGACATTAGTAAATGGACATTTCATGTCCTCGGCACAACTTTATGGCCAAAGCAAGTTGGAACTAAGGGGCCGTTTTATTTTTGTTGACAAATGTGGCAGCCAAACCCAGCAAGGTCCCCAAACAACCATGTGTGAACTGACCAGTTTGCATTTTATGGCTCTGAGGTTTTGCTTGAGCGGGGAGGTTGTATTGGAAAATGCGAACATACGTGCAAACAAGGAGCATGAGTAGGCCATTTGGCCATTTGAGCTGCTCCATAAACCAAAATTATGGCTGATCTGTAACCTCAAATCTGCACACCTGCCAATCCTTGATGACCTTTCATGCCTTGCTTACTAAGAAACTATTCACCTCTTAAAAATATTCAAAGACTCTGCTTCCACTTTTCAGCACAAGAGTTCAAAGAAGACCCTCTGTGATTGCCTCATCTTTGTTTTAAATGAGTGACTCCTTATTTTTAACAGTCATCCTTAGTTCTAGATTTTCCCCTCTGAAGAAACATCCTTGCCACATCTACTCTGTGAAAACTCCTCAGGATTTTGTATGTTTAATAGCAGGAAGCCAAGTCAGGATGTTTCCCTCAATTCAATTTTACCATCAGGAATGTTTCCCAATGGCTGTGTATCAAACTGTTTATTCAATAAGGTGGACTTCCAATTTGAATAATTAAAGGCCCTATTGAGAGTGATTTCCCCTGCCCCCTGACCTCTGGCATTCCACTCATTACAAATATCCTCTGATGCTCCAAAAAGCTCCATCACCACAAAGTGAGCTGCATGGATACATCCTCTCTGTAACTTAGAATTGAGCCATAGAGATTCAAGGTAGAACAGTCCATGGAGGGGGTCAATCACCCTATGTGCTTTTTCCTTTTAAAAATTTTGAAAATGTTCAACCCTTGACGGAGCCTCCTTGAGATGCTCTTACATTCCAGCTGTCTCAGCTGTTCGTCCTTGTGGTAGGACAACAGAGACTGGCAAGCTGCCAGCCCTCTGAATAGGTTGGTAGTATAAACTGCCATTCACTATCCTCTCATGTTCAGCCAAATGAGGCTGCCCTCACGGCTGGGTCCATTCTAATTGATCCAGTATTAAGCAAGTGAACTCCTCAATTACTTAGCTTCCTGCTTGCGTACTGTTAAGTCTGGAGTTTGTCAAGGATCTATGCTTTGCAGCCTCCTGTTTCAATTTATATGGTGCCTCTTAATGATGAATCATTTAGCTCAGTTGGCTGGACAGCCAGTTTGTGATGCAGTGTGATGCCAGCAGCATGGGCTTAATTGCTACACCGGCTGAGGTTACCATGAGGGACTCTCTCGACTTCTCTCACTTGAGGTGTGGCAACCCTCAGGTTAAACCACTCCCCATCATCTCTGTTTTACGAGAGAGCAGTCCTATGGTCTGAGAGGACTATGGTGATTTCACTTTGTTTTTGGATGGTAAAAGAAAAAACAGACTTTATGCAAATAGTACCCAGCACTACATTTATACTAGTATTCAGATTTGAATATCCAATGTTGGATGAGCAGAAATCACCTCTGCTTAAACAGTGGACAAACTGAAACCATTGCTTTTGACCCTCACAAAAAGCTCAATTTCATTAGACAGAGTAGATGCCGAAAGTAAGTTTCCTCTGGCTGTGGAGACTATAACCAAGAGAACACAAGCTCAGAATGAAAGACCAAGCCATTTGGGACTGAGATGAGGAGAAACTTTTTCACTCAGAGGGTGATGAATCTTTGGAATTCTCTACACCAGAGGGCTGTGGAAGCTGTCAATAAGGAAGTTCAAGTCCGAGATTGATGTCAGTATTAACTAGAAATCGATCAAATAATATGAATGTCTGGCAGGAAAGTCACATTGAGGTAGATGAGCAGACATGATCTAGAACAGTAGAGCAGGCTTGAATGGCCTAGTCCTGTGTTCTTATGAAGTGGAACCTAGTGGACAACTCTCCCAGGCATAGATGTGATGGACCAAATTGTCTCTTCCTCTGTTATTTTATGTTGATATTGAGTCTATGCTTTAAACTAAAAGTGTTGAATGCCCTTGGTCCTGAATTCCTCTTCAGCATTGTCCTACAGGACCATGACCAGTTGGAAGATAGCATACACAAGTGATATTGGATACAGTGTCTGTACGTCTAATCCTATTGTGTTATGATTGATATGTGTAACGTCCTGATATCCAGAAATTAAGAAACGTAATCTATTTTCACATGTTAAGACAAGTCTGTCACCTTCCATGGCAGTCCTGTAATTGGCTCCATGCAAGACACATAAATTTCCAGGGGCCGTGAAATGCTAGCTTCTTAGTGGATTTCTGCAGAAATAAATCTCATCTCCCATCTACAGACCTGGAGTGAATCCCCTTTGATTTGTTAGCTCTGACACATTTTCACAAGTTTTAAAGCATACTCACCAGGTTTTGTTAGTTTACTGGGTTCATGTGACTTCCTAGAGAGGTGCTGTTCAATGTAGTGCTTACACCCTCATATGTCATGTGTAGTAGAACCTGCAGTGATTTATTAATCAAATGGGAACGAGAAATATTATTGTTCTTAAGCATCTTTCTTTGCATTTTAACTTTTGTTACTATTAATAACCATTCTCTATTTGCT